AAGTCTTAAACTTTTTGTTATTCACATGTGGAACTAGAGCAGTATGCCCCCAGCTCTTGGGCTTCTTTAGCATGTTCCTTCCAATGCTACGAGTTATTTCAGGGAACCTTGTTACACTGTTACACTGTTACTAGTAGTACTGTTACTGGGGCTTAAACTCAGTACATAGTGCTTTTGCTTGGTCTTTTTGCTCATGGCTAGTACTCTTCTTGGGACACTTTCAGTTCCATTGGGAACACAACATACTGATTAGACTCTCATTTCCACTACAAAGCCTGGAGATGGCAGACTTTTAGTACCTGTCAAGGAAGGACAAGCAAGAGGACTGGACAAAAAGATCTTCTAGACCATAAAACTAAGCACCTATACAATGACAGTTATACTATTCTTTTACTCTTTTTAGGAGTAACAAACTTCCCTCTGACTTTTAACAGTGTGATTGCTTATTTTAGAATTAATAAAGGTTATAAGTAAAAGGCAGCACATGGAAACATTTGCCAGTTCTTTTGCCTTTTTGATACACTATCAGTTTTCTATCTCATTATTTCTTTTTGGTCTTAAAAAATATCTGGCTTGCCTATATTATCTAATTTTAGATGCAAGCTATGAGATAGTGCCTTTATACATATACCATCATTCAATTAACTTGTTTTAATTTAATGGATAAATTCTAAGGTTTCCCAGAGAACTTATTTATTTGAACTTGATTTATTAATAAATTTCCAAATATCTTTATAGAGTATATCCAGGCTAATCTACAGTATCTTGTATAATTGTAAGACAATAAAAGTTAGCTGGTTGTGTAAGATCCTTAGGTTAATGCTAGGAGATATACTTGAGATGGATAATAAATGAATGTGGTAGCTCCCTCTCAACTGAAGGGTATACATTTTGTTGATACTTGAAATAAAAACATGGTATCATTAGATCCAAACTATTCAGTATTTGAGAAGATCAACTATCTGATTATTTGGTTTCTAGGTTAGTGAGGATATAATATGTATCCAAATTTATAACTTGTCATACCAATATCAGAAGGATCATGAGCCCTATTCAGATTTTATGTATTCTTCCATATGTATTACATGTGTTCCTCATACCAGTCTAGAATGAAGAGATTCATAAAAGCATATGAAATTGGATCCTGTTCCTAGATTTTGTGGCAGTTGATATAATCAGACCTTAGTTCTAAGAAAATGGGTGACAAGAAGATATAAATCCTGTAACAGAGATCCTAAACCCAGATTCATAAACACAGAAACGGGAGGAAAAAAGTAATAGTCTTGTTGTAAAAGAATAAAACTCAGAAAAATGTAAAATTAGTAAGGTTTCTTACAAAGAGCTCTTCTAAGGTCGTAGCCATCTGTGTTGAACCATTGCACTCTTTATATTATTTAACATAACCAGGATACTACTACCACTGCACTAGCATTATTGTAATTGCCTATTGTCTGATTATGTAATTGTATGATTCTATCATTGAGTACCTCTCATTTCTCTATAAGAACATATCAATTGGTTTGGCAGATACTAATTCAATTTGTAGGAGAAATACTGAATAGCAACATATACATGATACACACAAAAGATACAATTGTATCAGAAACCAATTTGGAAAACAGTTGCAATACCCTTGAAACAGTGTTGAATAGTTGGTGCCATTAAACACCTAACTTATGTCTTGTTATGAAGTAGAGGTCAATGTGAGAATACTCTGAGGTGAATTAATACAAGAATATTTCACATAAATAGAAATTTAATTAAGAGCTAATCATTAGTGAGTATAGACAATATTATGCATGGTAATTTCAGTGCTTCCTTACACAACCCTAATATGGGCAGAAAACTACCATAGGGACAATGATACCTAAGAAGTAGAATAATTTTGATGCAAATACAGACAAGTGTAAATTTCAAAGGATGAAGTCTGTGATGTGGGAATTGGGAAGGGGACTAATACTTGGATTAATGAGAATAAAAGCCATTGTAATGCAGAGGAAATAACATCAAAATGTCCTGGAGGTGAGACTAAGCAGTTTGTGTTGAGGGATAGCAAAATCCTAGTGCTAGAAGTGTTGGACATGAAGGGTAAAGGCAAGTGGGGAGGTGGGCAAAAATAAGGAAAAACATATCAGGGCTTGAAAAACAGGAGAAATAATTTGGTGCTAGAATGAAAAGGGAACATGGGACCATTCCTTTGTCCTGGTGGTATTTTTTTGTCCTTTTTTTCTGCTTTTGTTTTGTTTGTCTTGTTTTTGTGCCAGTCCTGGGACTTGTACTCAGGACCTGGTTGTTCATTGTCTCTTCTGTTTATTGTTCAGCTAGCATTCTACCACTTGAGCCACAGCTCCACTTCTGGCTTTCTGGTGGCTAATTGAAGTTAAGAGACTCATGGACTTTCCTGTACAGCTGGTTTTGAACTGTGATGCTCAGATCTCAGCCTCCCAAGTAGCTAAGATTATAGATGTAAGCCACCAGCGCCTGGATGGTGGTTTTTTCCATAATGTAATTCTGGTCATAGTGTAAAAGTACTGGATTTGAAAGATGAGAAAAAAGGAGATCAATTAAGATATTCTTGGAACAGTGTCACTTTGATCTTCCTGGAACGGAAGGTGAAGAAAACAAATTCTGTCTGATGAAAAGAAACACAGTTTATTTGGGAAGATAGACAATTTTTCCTATAGTAAAATTTAAAAAATAATTATGTTGCTCTTTATATAAAATGTGTTGGGGGGCTGGGAAGGTGGCTCAGTGGTAGAGTGCTTGCCTTGCATGCATGAGGCCCTGGGTTCGATTCCTCAGCACCACATAAGCAGAAAAAAGCTGGAAGTGGCGCTGTGGCTCAAGTGGTAGAGCACTAGCCTTGAGCTGAAGAGCTGAGGGACAGTGCTCAGGCCCAGAGTTCGGGCCCCACGACTGGAAAAAAAAAAAAAAAAAAATGTGTTGGGTGATATAATTCATTCATCCATTAAAATCAAGTATTTACTGATACCTTGATGTATTTAAGGCATTAATTATAAAATGTTGAAACTGATAAGGTTTCTGCCCCTATGCAGCTTGCTTGCTAGAGAATTAGGTAATTGTTTTAAATATTTAAAAATTAATAAGCAGGAATAATTTTACATAGCTTTTTCTTTCTCAGTCTTTTTTTTTTTGCGGGGGGGGAGGGTTCAGTCATGGGGCCTGAACTCTGGGCCTGGGCGCTGTCCCTCAGCTCTTTAGCTCAAGGCTAGCACTCTACCACTTGAGCCACAGCACCACTTCCGGCTTTTTTCTTTTTGTTTATGTGGTGCTGAGGAATCAAACCCAGGGCCTCAGGCATGCAAGGCAAGCGCTCTACCACTGAACCACCTTCCCAGCCCCCCTTTCTCAGTCTTCATAGTAGCCAATGATAATCTAGCACAGGCTTTATGTTGAGAGCGGAGTTTGATATAAAACTTGCAAATCTGTAGAAGCATGATGGTGTAACCTTTGGCAATTATGAGTGGGTTCATCTAAGGATTGAAGACAGTTTCAAACTGAAGTATCTAGTAGGTGATGAAGTCAAGTATCCTTGGCTGGTGATTTTAAAAAACTGCTGTACTGACATGTACATGCTTTACATATTCCATATGTATTTACTGAGTGATATATAAGTGCCTTTCAGCATTTCAGATGCCCATTTCTAAGGGCAAAGGAAAATACCTTGAAGAATATATAATGACAGCAGCATCAAAGAATTTACCTGTCCTTTTTTTTTTTTTGGTTCTGGTCGTGGGGCCTGAACTCTGGGCCTGGGCGCTAGCACTCTACCACTTGAGCCACACCACCACTTCCGGCTTTTTTCTTTTTGCTTATGTGGTGCTGGGGAATCGAACCCAGGGGCTCATGCATGCAAGGCAAGTGTTCTACCACTGAGCCACCTTCCACGCCCCTACCTGTCCTTTCTATAATTATTTTTTTTCAAATGCAGAGCATCTTTCTAACAAGCACAAAGCTCTGAGTTTGAACACTATACCACAAAACAAAAACTAAGATTCAGAGATCTAGAATGTAAGCCCTGAAGCCTTGAATACCTAGACAGAACGTGGGTGGGGGACATGGGCCTTTAGCTACTGGACATGGGGATGGCACCATGAAGAAGACTCCTGACTCCCATAGCTTGGGCCCTACTTTTTGGATGTATCCCCTTCAAGGACAACCAGAGCCATAACTACCTACCTACCCACCCATCAGGAGAGGCTCTGAGAGCCATGAGGGAGAAGACTCTACTGGAAAGCCAAGGGCCTAGCCAGCTGTCCCATTGAGAATGGCAGGGTCAAGTCCTTGCCTCTAACATCTCTGGAGACCAAGGAAGCAGAAATAAGGACTCCCACAAGACAGGTGTCTTAAGGTAAATCTCACAAAAACCTGCAGCCCCATGAATACACTGAACACTGTCAAAAAACTGAGCTACTTGAGCAGGAGAGGAAAAGAGCAGAAAAACACCACCAACAAACTAGATCAACCCCAGTCAACTAGAGCTCGAGTGGAAGACCATGATGGCCCGAGTAGAGACAGGAGACAAGGAACTTGAGGCGTGGTGTGATGGTGCCTGCGCTGATCTAGGCCTAAATAGGGTCTGGTCACAGAGAGCTTGAGAGTTGATGACCCAAGGTTGGCAGGTAACCTGTTGTCCAAGTCCCACCTCTGCCTCTAGGAATTCAGGCATGCCTATCACCTGGGAGGGGGACATCACCGTCTTCCACCATGAAGACAGTTAAAACCAATTCCCTATGGTGCTGGCTAGATCCAGTGTCCCATTTCAAGGCCACAGGGAAACAGATCCAGGGAGCCCCCCAAAACCAGCTCAAATCAATAGGACCTCTTGGTAGTGGTTCTATAAAGACCTTTATTTGGCATTTTTGTCCAGAATGGGAGCTATGTAGGCTTGATGTTGCAGGCAGGCATTGCTCTGGACTCCCCAGGATCTCATCTTGAACTCAGTGTGGCACTGTCTGCCCTGGTCAGCAGAGGAGGATGCCAAGATCCCTCGGTCATTTCTCCAGAGGAGCGTAATTGAGCAGTTTCTCAATCAGGTCCACGTGTGCTAGCAGCATGCGGCAGGCAGCAGTAGTGCTTCAGGCCCAAGGTGTCCAAGGCGTCCCCCTCGGTGTACTTGGCCTGCAGCAGACCAAGGTAGGCCTTCCACTTGTTGCCCACAATCTTGCCACAGGTGAATCGGCACACAGGGATGATCATGGCAGCTTCTAGTGGCAGCTGGCAGCGACTGATGGCAGGCGAGCTATAATTATTTTTTTAAAGACAAGTAGCCCAGGATGGTTTGGACCCACAAGCATCCTTACAAGTTTATGCCACCACACCTGGCTTGCCTGCCTGCCTATCCTCCCTTCTCCCCTCCCTTTCTTTTTCCTTTCATTGTCCTGCCTGCTTGCTGCCATTAGTAATAGAGTAACTTCCATAAAAGAGTTCACTATGTGAAACCTTTAGGTAAAGATGATTTTTGTGATGCGGTTCTCTAAGATATATATATATATATATATATATATATATATATATATACACACACACACACACATATACAGAACAACAGACATTTCATTATGTAATACAAATCAGTGTTGACCTGTTACAAGTCTAAGATCAAGACGCCTATTTGACAGACATAGTGAGAGAATATAATAATTCCCAACTAAAGAGGTACACTTTCAGGAGTCCTCTACAATGTGGCACATTATTATATGGATAGTGTTTGGAGGATATCAGACATTATTAACAACAATTACAGTTCAGGTGAGAACAAGGTTCTCTGGGTATATATATATAGGTAGATGCATTTATATCAGCATTGGAAAGATGCATTTATATCAGCATTGGAAGCTTTTGTGGTTGGGAGCATGAGAGAAGAAATGGGCTGATTTGCCCTGATTTAATAATAACCACCTTTTAACAAGCCCTCCCATTGAAAATAACAGTTCAGGGGAGCCAAACGAGGCCCAAGACATAGATGGACCCCGTTCCAGGCACACACAGTATTGCCTTCCCTGAGTTGGTTCCTTATAAAATATCCAGACAGCATATGTGAAGGTATATCTTGAGTGTAACTTCCTATACCTACCTGTCAGGAGTGGATGAAAAAGTTTAAGTTCTGTGTTATTAGGCAGCTCTTGTAGCTGTACTTCATTGCCTTATTTTGTTTTTTCTTCTAGGAAACCAAGAAAGTATGAACAGATTACACCTAGAAATCTTTTAAAGTTTTTTGGTTCACTCACAGACTAAATAAGAAAATATATTCCTGTTAAGTGGTAGATAACTTCTGTACCTATGTTCCACAAGTGTATGTTGAATTATTATAGTGACAGTTACATGTAGATACTTACCTACTATGTTTCTTTTTTGGAAGTATGTATTCTCTTGGAAGTATATAATCTGGATTTTATACTTTCTTTTATATAGTTACAGTTATTTTGGGATACCTACTTAGGAATACCATTCCTGTTTGCTAAAAATTTTGAAATATCTAAATTTCATTCCATATAAAAATCTATTTAAAAAGATAATGCAAAGATAGTTCATCAGCCATTTAACTTTAGCAAGATAATTTGCATTTTAAAAAATCTGCTAATTTCTGAGGAGATAAAAATAAGTAGCTGAGCCAGGCATTGGTGGCTTACATCTGTAATTCTAGCTTCTCAGGAGGCTGAGATCTGAGGATTTCCATTCAAAGCCAGTTTGGACAGGAAAGTCTGTGACACTCATATCTCCATTTTAACCACCAGAAAAAAAACAGAAGTGGCACAGTGGTTCAAAGTGGCAGAGCATTAGCCTTGAGCAAAAAAGAGCTCAGGGACAACACATAGACCCTAAGTTCAAGCCCCATGACCAAAAAAAAAAAAAAAAAAAAAAAAGCAAGAAGCTGAAAGCCACTACTATCCAAGACCTCAGAACATCAACATTCTCACAAAGCTAAGACCAGAGGACTAAAGTATGCATTTGTAAGTGTAGATAAACACACAAAATGAAGACTTATTGTGAGTAGAAAAATAACTGACATGGTTATCCTTAGAGATTCATTCCAAGAAAAATGTGACTATCATTCAGAAATTTTACTGTTTGTATAAATATTTGTAATAGTATTGATGCTTTTTGTACTGTCAGTAAAAATAAATATTGTCACAAACTTTATTAAAAACCTAACTTTTAATAATAATAATAATAATATTATTAATTGTATATATAATAGTAATAATTGTATGTTTCATTGAATTATAAAATAAATGAAAAACAATTAGAATTTGGAAGGAGAAAATTGGGACTGGGTGCATGGCTCAAGTGGTAGAACACCTGCCCTATCAGGTACTTGGATTTGTCTACCAGTAAAACTAAATATAAACAAACACTGAAATGGTCATTCAGTAATAATGAGAAATAAGTTGGAAATACTAACGTAAACTAATTACATTTGGTAAACTACATCTTTTCTAGATCCATCGTATCACATGGCCAAGGGACAATATTACTTCACCATCATGAGCCTCCTATAAATTTTGCTACTTAGTAACACTTTTTACTTTCATTGTTTTGAGATAGTGTCTTATATAATCGTATTGTTATTAAGGTGTTGTATAGAGGGGTTACCATTTCATAAGTCAAGTAATGAATACAATTCTTTTGGGACAAAGTCACCCCTTTCTTTGCTTCCTCCAATTTCCCCCTCTTGCCCCTGCCCATTTCCCACATAGTATATATTGAATACCATGACTGTATTTGTTTACCCATCCTCCTCCCATTTCTGTGTCCCTCCTTACCCCACCAAAAAAGAAAAAAAAAAAGGAAAAACAGTAACACCATCACCACCAAAAAAAACCCATGTTTTCATTTCCTGGGATTTGTTTTGATAAATGCCAATTTAAGTGTTCAGAGGAGTTATGTATTTGGGTTGGTTTTCTAAGAGTAGCCTTCTTTAGTCTGGCTGTGTGTGAATGCCTATATAAATTATTATAGACTCCTTTATAAATTATCATGTCCAGTTCTGTTTTAGATCTAGTTTCTACATGTAAGAGAAAACATGTACCATTCATGTTGCTAAGTTTGGCCTACCAAGCATTGTTCTAGGTCCATCTAGTTCCTTGTAAATGACATATTTCTAATGGAAGAGTAAAATCACATTGTGTGTATGTACACATTTTTTTTAATCTGCTCATCTGTTGTAGGGCAGCTGGGCTGATTCCATTACTTGGCTATTGTGAATAGTGCAGCACTGAATGTGGATGTGCCAATGTTGAGACAGTGTCTTTTTTGTTAGTTTGTTTTTGCCAGTCCTAGGGCTTGAACTCAGGGCCTGGGCACTACCTCTGAGCTACTTTTTGGCTCAAGACAAGCACTCTACCACTTGGGCCAAAGTGCCACTTCCAGCCTTTTCTGTTTATTTGGTACTGAGGAAACAAATCCAGAGCTTCATGTATGCTAGGCAAGCACTCTACCAAGTCACATTCCCAGCCTGACTGTGTCTTTTTATACATTCCAGGGTGACCTTCTACCTCAGCTTCCTGAGTGCTAGGCTTACAGGTGTACACCACCATGCCTAACTACTTTCCACTTACATTAGCCAACATGCCTTAGAAATATGGCTGATTTTCTATCTGAATCTGAAAAGGTATAGACAAGTCTTAGAGCATCTGTTGGGCCAAAAGGCAAGGTTGATTAAAAATAAACACAAAAAAACAGGGCTGCATGAAATAATACAAAGTCTAAAGTGATGCCTATTGACTAAATTCTGTCAATCTGAATATTAGTAGGAAAATGATAACTGTGTTTGATTGAGATACATTAACTTATAAAAAGCTAAGTCCATAATGGTAGCAAAAGTGAGCTAAGTTGACAAATGACACTAAAGAAGTTGAATATAATTAAATCTCATTTTTCTTTCATCACGTCAGTGCTGTTGACTCAGGTATCAGAGCAGAAGACCAAATTCAGCTAATATTAAGTATGTTTTACTTAATCTAAATTTACATTAAGAAATAATTTTTAACTCATAGGCTGGCTAACTGTGATTTTTGATAGTGACAAAATTATTTGTCCCTCCAACATATCCCTGCCTGGCCGTAGAAATCTAATACTGCGAGTTTTTATTGCAAATGAAAATGTTGTTCTAGAGTTGGGATATATTTGAATTATTTTACTCCTGAGTTTCTGTGAGTATCCTCGGTATCTATGCATTGATTAGCTGAGTTTTGAAAGTTAGTTTATAACCCCAGTGGTATTTTGCTTAAGTCTATATCAGGCTCTCTGATACTTCCTGTAATAATGGAAAGTTCTCTATATGTATTGTCCAATATAGTAGCCACACAGGAGTATGGTAATTGAACACTAGGAATGTGACTAATGGGACTAATGAACTGAAATTTTAATTTACTGAGGCTGGAGACATTGCTCAATTGGTAGAACACTAGTCAGTGAACGAAACCATCAGGTACCTAGTTCAAGTCTTGGTGTCAGACAAAACAAAAAGGAAAGAAAATTTTATCTAAACTATAAAGTAAAATAGACACATACAGGGTCTACTATCTTGAGCAGTACATTTTAGAATGACTTTCAGTTTACCTAATGATGCAAATTCTTTCTCTCCAGTTCTGGGACATTGTCCATTTCTTTACAGAAAAAGATCCATATTGAAAAAAATTAAGGAGGTTGATCTATTTCTGTATAGATAATACATGTGTGTTTCTTTAAAACATTGAAGTGGCAGGCAGAGCTGTGTACCAGTTGGCTGACTCTTGTAATCCTAGGTACTCAGGAGGCTGAGATATAGAAGACTCTGATTTGAGGTTAGCCAGAGCAGAAAAATTCACTAGTCTAAAAAATAACAAGCAAAAATTAGGGCTGGAGGCATGGCTCAGGGCAGAGTACCAGACTAGCAAGCAAGAGGCCTTGACAAAACCCCCTCCTGATCAAATGAAAAATAAAAGCCTAATTTCATAAGCAAGTAATGACAGAAGCAAGAAGAACCTATGGCAGCTGTGTACGCCATCCAGGCCCAAATTTCAAAATGATTCAACATTTTAATCAAATCTAGCTAGTTTTTGTAAGTGACCTAAGATATTATGGTAACATAATGTCTGAGGCTGTATAGTTCATTCTCCTTCCTCAGCTTAAATGTCACCTCTTTATTGTTACTTTCTTTACATATGCCAGCTGTAGAGGTCCCCTACCCACTACCATCCACCTCCACAGTACTA